GGTCTGTCCCTCCTGCGTAGTGTCCCCTGGTCTGTCCCTCCTGCGCAGTGTCTAGCCGTCCTCTAGATGCCCTTTCCCCTTTATACTTGTCTTACTTTGATCTCTCTATAGAAAGTAACTATGTCTTCCTCCTGTTTAAATATTTTTAATTATGGCCAGGCACTGTGGCTTACACCTATAATTCCATCACTCTGGGAGGCTGATGCAGGAGGATTGTCTGAGGTCAAAGTTCGAGACTAGCCTAAGCTGGGCAATACCCTAGCTCTACTAAACATAGAAAAATTAACTGGGCATGGTGGCAAGCACCTGTAGTCCCAGCTACTCGTGGGGCTGAGGCAGGAGGAGCACTTAAGCCCAGGATTTGATGTTGCTGCGAGTGAGGCTGAGGCCATGGCTCTCTAGCCTGGGTGACAGAGCTTTGTCTAAAAATAAACAAAAAGTTTAATTGCTGAGCAGTGCCTGTGGCTCAGTGAGTAGGGCGCCATCCCCATATACCGAGAGTAATGGGTTCAAACCCAGCTCCAGCCTAACTGCAACAAAAAAATAGCCAGGCATTGTGGGCGCCTGTAGTCCCAGCTACTTGGGAGGCTGAGGCAAGAGAATCGCCTAAGCCCAAGTAGTTGGAGGTTGCTGTGAGCTTTGACTTCACGGCACTTGACTGAGGGTTAATAAGTGAAACTCTGTCTCAAAAAAAAAAAAAAATAAAGTTTAATTGCTTACTGTAGAATAGAGGTTCAATTTCCTTAGCCTGATGTTAAAATTTTTGGCCTTTCTAATCTTAAATTTGTTCCATCTCATTGCTGCTTCAGGAGGTGTGAAGGAAGCACTTGTCAGTTTTCTGATGTGTACTCATCTCTGTCCTCTAAGTGGTACTCAGCTTTGTGTCTTCTTTCTCACTTTTCCTGAGTACTGTGGACTATCTTCTTGTTATCAAAAAGATAAGAGATCTGATCTCCTTTGAAATAGAAAAAAATATATGTGAGAATAAAAGAAAAGCATACAATAGGTATAAAATACACTTACAGGTGAATCTTCACCCAGCTTCCCTGGCGTCCTGGAATAGCTCTCGTTGGCCCTGGCTGTGTAGTCACCCCTGTTTGTGAATTCTTTGGTGTTACCTGACCTGGGAAGAGAGGCTTCTGGGAAGTTTGACTGGGGCCGTGCGTGTGGGTGCTTGTTCCCAGCTGAACAACTCTGAAGTTGTTTTTCCATGATCCGGTTTTATAATTTTGGGGAGATGTAAGACTTCGTGTTCATAATTACTTGAGACTTTAGTCAGGTATGTGGCAGAGACCATTACAGGAAGAAAAAAGAAATGGAAGAAGCCAGTTAAGTAAAACAGCTGTCTATCTTCCTGTATGGGCTGAGGCCTAGAGTGAGTGAGAAAAGTGGAGTGTTCAGGAGGCTGAAGCTGCCTGTTACGTAGGTAGACCATTCCGGGAGGGTCTCTAGCAAACCAGGAAACTTCACATGTAAAATTCTAGGGTTGTAACTAAATCCAGTCTTTTGGACAACGTGTCGTGTTCTACGCCGGCATGGATAATCCGGTGTGTGGTTAGTTATTCAGATGCTCACGTTCTCCAGACGTGCGTATGTATTGATACCCTGACAGATGAACACAACATGCACATAAAATCTGATGGATTACTCAGCATTCATATATTTTAGAGAATTACTGCATCAGGTTTTCTTAGTTTCAAGAATCTTTTTTGTTTTATAGAAGAGAGAATAGCTACTCCTGTGCTGTATAAGTAAGGAAAGTTGTTCATCAGTGAAAGTTAAGAAAACTCAGAACATGTGAGGTGGAAGATTGCCACTTTTATGTTTGCTCTTAGGTGACTGTAATGCTCCTTCTTTTGGTTTTGCTTAAAATATTTGTGTTTGTGAGCTTATTTTTCTTTATAACCAATGTTTGGAAATTACTTGGGTGTATTGGGATGAAGGAGTTCTGTACATGTATTGGCCCCAGTGTGTTATTCTTGTCAAGTAAATACTTGTGTTGTTTTTCTTGTTCTAGATGTTTTATTTAGATGTTTTAGAAGTTCCTTACAACTTTATAAACAATTATTTCATTTGCTGTGGTAACACACCCTCTATCTAATTTTGCAAATCTTTTCTTCTTTTTAGTAACCCTTAAGAATGCTGCTATGCTCCTGGAATTTGCAGTAATGTATAATGCTGAACAATTGAAAGTATCTTGTTCACAGTTCATTGGACTGAACATGGCAGCTTTACTTGAAGCAAGGTCAGTCAGTGCATGTATTATATGTAGCAGAAGCGCATGCTTGCATATAAGAGCAGATATGTTAGTAATTTAAAAGTGAATAAAGTTTACCTGGCTAGAAAGAATTTGAAGGCTCAGTGCCTGTGGCTCAAGTGGCTAAGGTGCCAGCCACATACACCTAAGGTGGCGGGTTTGAATCCAGCCAGCCCGCCAAACAACAATGATGGCTTTAACCAAAATATAGCAAGTTGTTGTGGTGGGTGCCTGTGGTCCCAGCTACTTGGGAGGCTGAGGCAGGAGACGACTCGCTTGAGCCGAGGAGTTCGAGGTTGCTGTGAGCATGATGCCATGGCACTCTACCCAGGGGGACAGCTTGAGGCTCTGTCTCAAAAAAAAGAAAGAATTTGAAAAATGCTAATGATTTAGTAGTCACAGATATATTTTAGAATTAGAGGAATCGTAGAAGCTTTTGAAATGTTTTTAGCAATGATTTTTAAAAATGAAATTTACATATTTATTTTTTAATATAAAGTCAAAAAATTTCATTCATTCAGTATAAAGTCAATGGTGAAAACCCTGAGGCTATTTTGATGAAAACAAATTTGAGACTAGAGTTCTTGGTGGCAGTTTTCAGTTTCATCATTTTAGTTTATTTTTGTATTTTATCTCAGTAGTAATAATTACAACCAGTATTTAGTGTTCACATAGATTAACTCAGTTAATTTCCATGGACACCACATGAAAGAGATTCTGCTAATATCCTTGTGTTACAGATGAGAAAACCCAGGAATTTTTTTTTTTTTTTTTGCGAAGCATTGAGAAAATCTTGATCTATATAATTGTTATAAAAGTAAAAGTTTTTGATATCTTAACCTTATTAAATCAGGACAATCTTTAAACTAATTCCAGAATGTGATTGAAATTGAAATACAGTATTCTAATTTTTGGAGGTGAATCACAAACAGATTCTTAATTTCAGTTAGGGTTCAATTTAAAGGAAATTTCTTTGCACTTTAAGATGTTTTTATTTTGTGAAAAATGCTTTTAGATTAAAATTAATGTTATGTAATATTAGACAATGTCCTTTTAAAATGCCTTTGATATCTTAGTGTCAAAACCTGGCTAGATTTTTGGACTAAATTTGATTTCTATTCTGACTTCCATTAGTAATTCTATTTATAGCAGTTTTGTGACTCTACATTGCCAAATGAAGCTTCTTAAATTCATCAGAAAAATATCAACCAAAAAGTAAAACAAGCACCAACTCTATCAATAATGTGATTTTGGAAAATGGTCTATCACACTACTGTTGTTCACCTGTTGTGCTGTAACGAGCACGTCAGCCGAGCCATTTACTTAAAGATAGCACCAGCTGTGGTGATGTCTCCACCTGTGTAATTATACGTGCGTGGACATGCACAACAGAAGGAGGATTTGTGCAGACTTAGCCTGGCCGTGTAAATGAGTGTGATTTGTGCAGACTGAACTACGCCGTGTAAATGAGTGTGATTTGTGC